GTCTCAGGGACAACAGCCATGACTAGGGGGTTCCTTTATTTTTATCATAATTCCTCACCCCTCTAATCATAGCTCTATATCCAGCAATCGCACTTCTCTCGTCAGCCACCACAATATTTTCCATGCTATATTCAAGAAAAAATATTATATTATCCTCTCACTCCTTAGAGGGTTTTGTATTAGTTCTTATAGATTTAACAAAAAATAATCTTTACATATTAGTAAAAAATGAATCAGCTCTCCAAGGTCGATGACTCTCACGCGAAAACAGGTGCGTCCTAGTTAGAAGACGTTCCCATGTCCTAGGAGTAGTATACGTATGACATGTACTAATCACAAAATTAATTTATATACATAATTTTACAATTACTTATATTTCACAATTAAATATATAAGAAATGTGATTGGACGGTTGTTTCATATAAATTCAATTTTAATATATGTTAGAATTTATTTTAAAGATTGTATCAGTTATGGAAGCATACGGTTTTATTATTACCTACGACGGAGACAAAAATTATTGTTTCTCCTCGCCTGTACAAGTCTTTGGATACCTGTATTGCTGCGGTAAATAAGTTTTCTTTTGATATTCCCGATAATTTTCCAATTGTTTTGCATTATTTTAAAGTTANAAATTTTATATACTTTTAAAAACTGTTATACAATATTACCATAGAAAAACTATATGATAAAACCATTATACAATTATACATTCAATAATTTTGTATAGAAAACTTATATGATAAAACCATTATTCCATACTATAAAAACATTATACAATTAATAATTTTGTATAGAAAAATTATACTTAAAACTATTATACAATTATGCCATACGATAAAAAAAACATACTATTAAAATTTGGTATATTCCTCCAAATGCTGTCCCATAGCGTTGGATGCTTGTTTATACTTGCTAAAATCTTTTACACTGATGTTATATTTGTTATGCAGGTATGATCTCTTGGCTTTTGTGAGAGATACGTAGAAATTCGACTGAAATTCCTGTATCTCGATTCTCTAATCTTAACTTTGAAGTCAGGAATTTTTATCTGCTTAGATCCAAATCAAATCTTGTTTTATGTTTTCACCAGCCTCGCCTGTTTTGGGTTTGGGACCTCTTTTCTTATTATTTTTTTCTCAAAATCAAATTCTACAATTAGTTTATAAAAAAATTATAATCTAAATTAAGGTGGGTATTATTATTATTATTAAAATAAAAGTTACTTACCACTGTCAGGCGACATGATTTTCTTTAGTGAAGTTTTATTTAGTAGAAAAATTGATGAGTGAAGTTTAGGAAAGATCGTCCGCCTTTTATCCTCAGCTACTGGACCTACAAAACTTGTTAGACATGATGGTTGAAACTAAAATTAGAGCACGTCCATCTTCAAAGTAACGCTTATTGATAGATTAGATAATGAATATTAACTAGGTTAGGTCATAAGGAAAAGTCTTTTCTTTGTCCTGTCTTCGAAGGTAAGAGTTATTAACTAGGTCATGAGGAAAAGTCTTTGAAGGTAAAAGCCATTAATTTGGATAAAATAGCAAAATCTCAACTTCTCTCCGATAATTTTATTAAGAAATATATTGATAAATTAAATATGAGAATAGTTTTAAAATATCAACGATTAAAAACAGATACTCTGCAGGAATTAAAAGATTATCTCCACTGAGATTTAGTTTCTCGTTATCAAATACTGAACGAAGATTTTATTCACGATTTCAAATACCATTTTTTCTGGTGTTATATTATTAAATATCAAAAACTAGACCATAAATATATCGCTGAAAATTCTCACAATTTGCTAGTCTTCAGGATATTAGTAACATCGTTGATGATATAATGGAAAAATTAAATAAATTCGATGAAGAAGAGGAAGAAGAGAATTAAAATCTGTAACATATCGATTTTAAAGAAATAAAAAATAATTAAAAGAGTCGATTGTTTTTAAATCTAGTAGTTAATTGTATTATCTACAAATCAGAAATATATCGCGATATTTCTAACATCGCTGATAAAGGAAAAAAAACTTACGTTCTGTTTTAAAAAAAGGTCCGTATCTGATCAAAGTGTCGGTAAAAAAAGAAGTCTATGAACAAAAATTTACCAGATAGATGAAAGAATGTGGTCCACACAGCTTACTTCAGAGGGGTCCACTTCAGGTGTAGTAGAGAAAAAATGTTTTGTAATTCCTATATTGCGTCGGTCTTTATAGTCCAGTTTGAATCATTAAACTTTATATTAAATTCCTATACAAATTAATTTTATACCCCAGTGTATTGGTTCTATACTACTAATGCATGTAATCTAATTTTTACTACTGTAACTTAATTCAAGGATCAAACAAAGAAGTCATTGTTATTTACTGGCAACATTTAACAAATGGAATTGATGATTTTATCAGCAAAGAATATAACCCCTTTTCCAAGGTTCCACAGCAAAACACAATGACAAATGCCAAAAATTTTTTTAATTTAAATTTAACTATAAGTAGAAATACTCACTATTGTTATGTGAACGAACATATTATACATATATATAAATTTGCATGAATCTTGACAAAAATTCTGCTATTTAGACTAACATTATCACAATCCCATAACACTTCTTATTTTCAATAATTCATCTAATTGGTACAGATAGATAAAGTCATATTTGCAGGACTCAACACTGATTATGCCATCTCTAATACTCTTGAAATTCATATACTAATAAGCTATTTCAGTGCACTATTTGACTTATTCATACAAATCAGTCTCTCTATCAAATATCAGTCACTTATTCATATATCAGTCTCTCTCATTTTAGATAATTAGATATATAAATATTTGAAGTTAATTAAATAGCATATTGAATTTTCTTACCATAATCCAAATTGGGGAATTTCGACACTCCTATTTGATTCTGTTTCTTCTTAAAAAATTTCCTGAAAATGAAAAATTTCTATAAAAAACTTATTTATGTAAGAAGCTGTGCATAATCATCAATAAAAATCAGANTGAAATTTTTAAAGCGTTCAATCTTATTCTTTCTTCGTCCGCAGCGAGGGAGTATACCGCTTTTGTGAAAGAAATACTCTCTTTCACTTTTTCTTTCAGCTCTTCGGAGACAATAGCATTTTGAGGAATCACAATTCTTTAAATTTTGATTTTTGTACTCTATTTAGGGCATGCTGGAGAGTATCTATATTCATTACTCTCCCATCTACGATGTCCCTTATACTCTATATTTTCATTTAAAATAGGTTAAATTTTTAAATTAAAAGAACATATTATTTTTAAAATACTCACCGGAGTATATATTCCGGCCTCATGCCATCGTACAATTTCCATTACACTCTATTTAAAATAATTTTAAGAGTTGAAATTAAATTTAAAAAAAAAGTATTTGAAATACTCACAATAGCTTTTTAATGATTTTAAACATTCAGTGATTAGCAGAGGGATATTTATAATTCATCACAAGGACAATTAGTGGATGATTAGTGGACATTATATATATAAGCAAGTTCAAGNGTAAAGTAATAGGAAAAAGAATCTAATGGCAAAGCAAATGGCTTTAGTCCCTCCCGAATTGTTAGCAGCATATCGGAAACCTGAAATAAGAATTGATAATAATATTGAAGAATTACTCAAGAGTACCGATTTATCCAATTTATCCAATCGAATTTTACATATCTGGTTCTGGCGAAAATAATATCGATTTGCATTCGATTTATCTTCACGTTCAAGCAAAAATAGTTAAAAAGGATGGAACAGATATTCCGGCCGATGAAAGTTGCCCCCATTAATTATTTTTTAAATAGTTTGTTTTCTCAATGCAGTGTTTTTCTGAATGACAAACAAATTATTGCGCAAACTAACTACCAATATAAGTCGATTTTAGATGCTTTATTATTTTATTCAAAAGAAGCGCAAAAAGCTTTTTTAACAAGTGCATTATTTTATAAAGATACTGCACAATATATGGATTCGATAGAGGAACATAATGAAGGATTGATTAAAAGATTTAATATTAGTAAACAAAGTAAACTAATAGATTTAGTCGGAAGAGTTCATATTGATTTGTCGCATCAACCTAAACTTTTAATTAATAATGTAGATTTAAGAATTAAATTGGAAAGATCTAAAGACAGTTTTGCTTTAATGGCAAATAATGATAATTATAAAATTATTATTAAAAATGCATCTCTAAAAATTAATAAAGTAGACGTTAGTTTGTCAGTACAGATTGGGATTGAGAAAGCACTCCAGCCATCAGGTATTATAAAAATACCATTTAGAAGAACCGATATAAAGGTCTTTACTTTAAGTAGTGGTATACAGTTAACTAATATTTCAAATGCCATTATCGGTCAGTTACCTTATAGAATGATGATCGGTTTAGTTTCTAATTAGGCATTTAATAAAAATGTAAAATATAATCCTTTCAATTTTAAAAATTATAATTTAAATTATATATGTTTATTAAAGGACAATCAAATGATTCCTCCAAAACCTTATACTCCCGATTATACAAATAACTTATACGCAAGAAATTTTATATCATTATTCGAAGATATAAGATGTATTAATCACCATAAATTTACAAATATATCTTACAAGGATTATAAAGACGGTTATACTTTATATTGTTTCGATCTTACTCCCGATGGTTTCGCATCAGAATCCCATAAAAGCGTTAATCAATTAGGAAACATTTCTATCAAATTTAAGTTTGCGACCGCATTATTAGAAACTGTAAACGTTATTTGCTTACTCGAATACAATAATACTCTGAAAATTGATCATTCGAGAACAGTATTCGTAGATTATTAATGAATACTATCATGTTATGGAGACTAGCATCGAGCGACTCGAAAATAAAAAGGACTTTTGGAGAAGTTTTTGCATCCGATGATTTACCCGATTGCGTCACTAATCGAAAATCATTTATAATTAATTTACATGAAAAAAAATAAGCCCGGAAGTCATTGGGTATCCGCATTTTTCGATGGAAAAACCTGTTTTTACTACGATAGTTACGGAATGAAACCGTCAAAATTAAAAATAATTAAATTTATAAAACGAAATTCTAAAAATTGTTGTTGGAATATTATTATTCATCAGAGTTTATATTCGATGAATTGCGGATACTTTTGTTTGTATTTTCTATATAAAATGAATAGAAATCAATGTTTAGAAGAACGAAGTATAACTGATAAATTTCATAATGATGAATTTGTAAAAAAATTTGTTAAACAACATTTATATTTAGCATGTTCGCTTACCATAATGTATAATCAATGTTGTAATTCAATGAATAAGAATACTTTTGTTTGTATTTTCTATATAAAATGAATAGAAATCAATGTTTAAAAGAACTAAGTATAACTGATAAATTTTATAATGACGAATTTGTAAAAAAATTTGTTAAACAACACTTATATTTAGCACGTCCACTTACCATAATGTATAATCAATGTTGTAATTCAATGAATAAAAATATTTAAAATATAGAAAAATCT